AATTTGTGCTATTCTTATAGTTCTGAACTATTTGTATTGATCAGTGGGAATTACTTTTGGTATTTCTTACTTAAAAGTGAATGTTTTAAATGACACTTCCATAAACAATGTAAATTGATATGTTCATCCTTAGGTATTATACGTATGAAATGATGCAATTTATATTTTAGAAGTTTGTATCAATGCTATTTTAAAAGGTTATAATGTATGGAAGAAAAGATGAGCTTTATCTGTTATTTAGAAATACGTAACAAAATTGTGGAGGAAGCATTTTTCTTGTAAATATATGTTCTTGGAAATAACAGGTACACATATTCTCCAATTATTTCTTTTAAGATATACTGTAATATGATACTAGTAGACTTCATAATCACCATCCATGAATTATAGCTGTTGAAATGCTTGGAATATATCCAAGGGTTTTCTATCTTTACTTAGTTTAAGTACTTCTAAGTAATAGTGTTCTGATGGAAAAACAATTCACTAAGTTCACTAAGATATTTTCCCCCCTCTTTTCTCCTTTTTTTAAAATATCCCTTTAATTGGTCCCGAGGGCAGGAAGATCTGAGGTGAGTTGGTTTAGCCAATATTCTTTTTGTTCTTAAGGGGTATACTAATGAAGTCAGGTACTCATATTTTTGGCTTTAAGCTGAACTCTTTTAATGACACTTTAAAATATAATGCAAGTTGAGTTGATTTGTTCATCCCTAGGTACTTTCTGTACAGGAATGAAATGATTCAATTTCAGATGCCGAGTCAGATAGAACAGGATCCCATTTGGAGTCTGCCATTTGATAGCTGTGTGTAAAGAACAAATTATAATAAATCCTGTGATGTTGTGTTGTAAGGATTAGAGACAATAACTCTTGCTACCTCACTGGTATCATGTCAGAACTAACTCATAGTTGACCCTCCAGAAGGTTTTCCAGGGACTATAAATGTCATGGGAGGGAGCCCTGGTGAACTAGTGGGTAAGGAGTTACATTGCCAACCAATGCTCAAATCTAGCAACCATCTCACGGGAGAAAGACAGGTAATCTTCTCCCTTGGAATTTATAGCCAGCCAGGGGATCAGTTGTGAGTGGATTCTGACTTGATAGAAATGAGTTTTGAGTTAAATTGTATAGGAAGAGAGTGCTAGTGGATTCAAAACATCAGAGAGTTGGGTCCATTTGGCTGAGCAATACAACTCCCAGCCTATTCCTCCAGCACTGCCCTGTTAAGTACAAAGTGCTCAGAGAAGGCACAGCACTTGCCTTACACTACCCACTCACTGCCATTGAGTTGATTCCCACACACTGAAACCCCGTAGGACAGTAAGAACCACCTTGTAACATTTCTGATAGTGGTCTTTTTAAAAGAAGCAAACTGCTGCATCTTTTTTCTTGTAGAGTGACTGGAAGGTTTGAAATCCTGACCTTTTGGTTAGAGGCCTAACACTTAACTCACTCTGCCACTTGGGCTTCTGATAGGAACTGTTGTTATTATGTACCATCGAGTAGGAACAGATTCACAGCTGGGCTTTCTGCGGGTGTTTTATCTATCGTAGTTGATTGCCCATCATTCTCCCTGGAAGCAGCTGGTAGATTAAAATCTTATACTTTTGCATTTACAGCATGATTTCCCCAAATGTTCCCCAAATGGTGATGTTATTTTTATGCCTTGTCAATTCAACTGTGAGTCATAGTGACCCTATACATGATAGTTCTGAATCCTACCCTATTCTGAGCCAATCTCACTGCCTATGACAGACCTACTCCCATTACCCAAGTTACTGTACTTCTCATTCACAGTCTCCTTCTCCTACACTGTTCCTTCACCCTTCAAAGCCTGACATCCTTTTCCAAAGGTGGTCCCTCCTGGAAATGTGCCAAACATATGTGAGATGAAGCTTCAAAATCTTTGCCTCCAAGGAGCAACTTGGTTTTACCCTTTCTAGCACAGACCTGTTTGTTTCCTTCACAATCCATAGTATACTCAATGTTCTTCTCCAGCACAATTAAAGGCACTGATTCTTCTGTCACACTTAGTCATTGTCCAGCTCTCTGATGTGTAGCAAGTAATGGTGAAGATCATGGTCTGAATTAGACACATCTTATTGTCTGTACTGAAATCGTTGCCCTTCAGCACTCTGGAGAGGGACCTGACAGCAAATATTTCCAATGCAATTTGTCTTTTCATTTTCTCACTGCTGGTACCTAGACGTTCATTATGGATCCAAGAAAGCTGAAAATGTTAACAATCTCAGACTCTTCTCCATTTATCATTGCTGCCAATTGACCCAGTGATGAGGATCTTTGCCTTCTTGATGTTGAGCTTCAATCCATACTGAAGACTGCAGTCCTTGACCTTCTGCAGCAAGTGCTTCACGTCCTCTTCAGTTTCAGAAATGAAAGTTGTGCTATCTGTATAACACAGGTTGTTCATGAGTCTTCCTCCAGTCCTAATGCCACATTACTCCTGAATGATCTGTTCTGCATACAGAATGAAAAGGTATGGAGAAAGGATTCATCGCTGACACACATATTTCCTGATTTTGTGTGATGTATTTTACCTTGTGTTGTTCTGGTGACTGCTTCCTGTTCCAAGTATATATTTCACATGAGCGTAATCATGTCTTCTGAGATACCAGTTCTTCTCAGTTTTAACCACAATTTGCTGTGTTTCATGAAAATTCCTTTGCATAATCAATGAAACACAGAGAGACATTGCTCTGGTACTCTCTGCTTTCAGCCAAAATCCGTCTGACATTGGTTATGATGTCCCTAGCGCCACAGCCTCTTCTAATCCCAACTTGTATTTCTGGTAGTTCTCTGCTCAATTTCTGTTGTAGTCATTTTTGTATAATCTTCAGCAGAATTTTGCCTGTATGTAGTATCAATGATATTGTTCCATAATTTCCACACTCTGTTGAATAGCAAGTAGCTATTAATTAAGCTCTTAGTGGGAGCTCTGGTGGCCTAGTCACTTGGAATTAATGAAAAGATTTATCTAGATTATGGTTTCACAGTCTTAATGTTACTGAAATTTTTAACCGGGCAATTCTGTGCTAGATGTAACCATTCGCATTGATAACCTAAAGAATGCAGTTTGAATTCACCAGCTGCTTTGGGAGGGGAAGATGGGCACTCTCCAATGAATCGCCTCTGAAAACTCACTGGAAGGCCAGCTATGAGCTGGCTACTACCCGAAGGCTCATAACATCATCAGGCTCTGAAAAAGAATAATACAATACCTATTTTATGTGCTCAAATTGAATATAAGTATAATCGACAAGGATTAGACATCTCAACAACAGTTTCCCCAGGGAGAAACAGAGCAAGACTCGATGAGGGGAAGCACTGTTATTATTCTTGACATTTGACTTGGTTCCTTAGAAAATAATGTATAAAGTGTGGAAAATTCTTTATTTTGATGAAATAGTAAGAAAGAAGTCAAGAGTACTTTCATGGAGTAATGATAACCACATACTTCATTCACATCTACCAATTGCAACACCAAAATAAAGAGGCAAACAAACCCTGTGTTATAGAGTCAATGAGGACAAGAGTTTTTCCACACAGAGTTCCTGAGGCTGTAAATCTTTACTGAAGCGTATTACCTCATTTTTGCTCTCATTGAGTCGCTGATGGATTTGAACCCTTAACCACTTTATTAGCAGTTCAATATTCAGTCCATCATGCCATCAGTACTCATACTGCAAAGCACTCAATGTAAATCAGAAATGAAAAGTGATTTTTTCCCCCAAGGCGAATTTTTAGGATCCTCTATCTTTTCTATCCTCTGCGTTCTTTTAAAAATGCATCATTTAACTGTGTTCCCTTGGTCTCTAACGTGCACTCCTGCTTGCACTTTGCATTCTTTCACCTAACTCTTTTAGAATGAAAAAGAACTATTGCTCTGAAAACTTTATGTAGCTTTTTAAGTTAAATTTAACAAGTAATTAATCACTGTTGCTCTGTAGATAATTATAAGGGAATATGGCTCATATCTTAATCAGTCTGGACTTCAATTTAGTCACCTTAACATTATTAATCACAACAGAAATAATAAAAATAATTACTAGATGAGTAGATTCTGGCTAGTACATCTGTTTATACATAGATTCACTGTTAATTGAAAGGTTGGGGTTCACCCACAGGCATCTCAATTTCTGGAATATCAGACATTAAAACCTTATGAAGCATAGTTTTACCCTATTATAATGTATATATGGCATCACCATACATAGGAATCAACTAGATAAGAACCACTACCATTAACACTACCATTAACAACTCTATGCCTTGTAGATACTGCTTAGTTCACACAATAACCCTACAAAGCAGATATTTCCATCTCTATTTTACAGCTGAATAGACTTAGAACTTATGAAAAGATTTATCTAGACCAGGGTTTCTCAGTCTTAATGCTACTGAAATGGTTAACCGAGAAATTATATACTGTGAGTCGCTTTCCTGCATATTCTAGCATGCACATAGCTTCTGTGGCCTCTCTCTATAAGGGATACTAGCTAGTAGCAGCCTTCTTTCGGTGGTGGCCCCCAAAATTGTCTTCAGATATTGTCAAATGTCTTAGAAGGTGCAAAAAAATGCTCCCAGATGAGAATCACGGATTTAAGGAAAAGGATGTTAAAAATGGGTTTACTGAGATCAGAATGCTCACAACTCTTTGTTGAAACTAAATCACATTAACTAATTTAATAGTCTAGAAAGAACTTCATTTCAGATGATTATAGAAGTGAAAATCAGCACTGAGTTTCAGCTGGTTTTTCTAAATCTGAATATAGCCCTACAAACATTCATTATCCTGATTTTAAGTACACGTATGCAGTATAAATAAATGAATGGCTATAATCCTCCCAAGACAAAATAACACGCAAGCCAGATGGTTCCAAGTGAAATTGTCAGTCTGGAGTACATATCCCAGAGTTCATTAAAATCCACTTCCAGACAAGAATTACGAAATTACAACTGAATGCTGAGAGACGAGACGCGTACCTGTCTGGTGGATGCCTGAGATGGATCACTTGGACGATGATTCTCTTTATTCTCATCTGCCTCTTCTGGCTTTACCTTGTTGAATTTTACTGTCAGTGATTTAAACATCCTTTCTGAGGTTGTTCTGAAAAAATCTGCTTTTATGACCCTGTCTGGAGGTAGAGAAGTGTATTTCGTTTATCCTTGCTTTAGTAGAGAAGCCAATTAGGCATTTAATCAGGATTTTGCTCTGGTTAAATCCTGGAGGTAACTCCCTAGCTAGTCAGGGCTTTGGCTTAAAAAGCAGTAAATCACTTCTGTTTGGATGATTTGAACTCTGTTTACCAACTTTGGAGAGTCAAAACACCCCTGCGAATAATTTCTAAGTAGAGGATTAAACAAAATTTTGTGGTTGAATGGAATTGTTTAAATGTGATCATAATTCCCATTGGTTTGCTTGTTTATCTAATTATCTATAGCCTATCTCCCACTATCTAATTGTAATAAAAATAATACAAACAATGGTTTAAAAGAAAAATAGCCCCTGAAGTCTTTTTTAAAATCAAACAATAGTTTAGTTTAACTAGTAAAGAACATATACCCTGTGGATTATGCTCTTTTAAAGTCTATCTATATGAGCTGAGGTGAACAAAAGTAATTCACAAATTAGGTGAGAAATTTAGGGGGCAGTCAATTTATGTTAATGGGGAGGAACTAATCAGAAAAGAAGGATGAGAATGTTTACACCAATAGAAGAAGGTAATCATTGCTACTGAATTACTGATGTAGAAATTGTTAAATTAGTATATGCAGTGCTGTGAAAATTCTCAACAAAACAAATATTTTTAAAAATTTGCACAAGGGTGCATAGTATAAATGGTGATGACCCTTCCCATCAACATTCCCACACAAGCGGATCACTATTTTTAAGTTTTATGGTAAAAAAAAAGTTTCGTGGTTTATTTCAATATCTTTTGCAGCTTATTGGATAAGGATTTGGGCCGCTAACCCATTGGCAGGTGGTTTGAATCCGCCAGCTGCTCTGTGGGAGAAATATGGGAAATCGTCTCTGCAATTTGCAGCAAATGAAAGTCCCCTGGAGCGTCAGCTGTGAGTCAGTTCTGACTTGATAGTAATGTGGTTTTTGCGGAATTAAAGAGTCTGAGTCGTTTGCTCTTTACCAGCTGATGGTGTAAATTTAGACCCCAAAACTGTGTAAGGTACAGTTTCGAGATGAAGAATTGTCAAGGACAACTTTTTCTTTTCCTAGAGTCCAGATAAACTTACTCGGAAATGTTTTGTAGTCTTTAAAGATGCATCTTTTTCTAAAATGTCTTTTTTATTATTATTAAATCCTATCACTTCCTCTCTAAAGTACTCAGGAGCAACAGTGTCTCTCTGGAGACTAAGGTGCGCCTGATACAGGCCATGGTATTTGCAATCGCTTGTTATGCATCAGAGAGTTGGACAATGACTAGGGAGGACAGAAGGAGAGTGGATGCTTTTGAGCTGTGGTGCTGGAGAAGGGTACTGAATGTACCCTGGACTGCCAGGAAAACAAACGGATTTGTCTTGGAGAGGATTAAACCAAGCTACTCCTTGGAGGCAAGGATTCTGGGGCTTCGTCTGACATACTTTGGACATGTTGCCAGGAGGGACGGGTCCTTGGAGAGGGACATCATGCTTGGGAGGGTTGAGGGACAACGCAGGAGGGGAAGACCCTCTATGAGATGGATTGATTCGGTGACTGGGGTAATCGGGATGGGTGTGTCAGAGGCGGTGCGGTTGGCGCAGGATAGAGCAGGGTTTATGGCTGTTGTGCATAGGGTCGCTATGAGTCGGAAACGACTCGACGGCACATAACAACATAACAACATCATTTCACTTGCCTACCTTCAATAAAGAAGACTTAATGCCTTTGTATTGTGGTGTTGGAGAAGAGTACTGAATATCGCATGGACTGCAAAAAGAACAAACAACCCCATCTTAGAGGAAGTCAGCCAGGGTTTTTCCTGTTGGAAAGAATTGAAATCTTATCTCATACACTTTGGGCATGTTATGCTTGCAAGAGTGGAGGATCAGAGAAAAGGAGGTAGGCCTTCAACAAGACGAATCGACACAGTGATTACCTTGGGTTTAAACATGGCAAAGGTTGTAGGATAGTACAGCCATCCTACATATGGCAAGATACATAAGGCAAGATTTTGCTTTGTTTTTAATTGGGTCAATATGAGTCCTAGTTGACTTAAAGGCGCTTAACAGCAATAATTAACACAGATGAAATGGAAGAGGTAACAATTTTCACTCAAGCACCTTTGGAAATGGCTTAAAATCTCACCATGACCTAGAGAATGGGATTAACATTATAGATGATACTTTCACTTTGTCTAGATCAAGAGTCACAAAGTTTGGGATATGAACAACTGTAAAGAATTTTAGAATGAGATAAATATATTTCTTTTTTACACTTATTTGTCTTAACTAAGCAGATGTATGAGCTAACACAAGTCCATTGCTTGGCAAGGTAATCTAAGTTTTCTTCTGAATAGAAGGGCTGTGATTTTGTGTTATTTGGCAAAACACATCTCCAACCACTAAAAAGAAGACAAGAGGAAAAAAAAAGATTGCTTATTCTGGCAGAAATGACTACTGGGATTTCGTCAATAACTTAATTTTTTGGTACTGTACTGCTGCAGTATTACACTGGTAATAAATGGATAATTATTCAATGTATTTTCCCCATTGTTTATCTCACTGAAACTTCTCAGAGACTATTCTTCCTCTATGGCAGAATGTCTAAGGTCCTTTGACTACATTTCTGTCTTCATTTCTAACTTGCACTTCCTCCTACAAGAAATTTTTATAAAACTAAATTGCAGGCGACTCAATAGCATATAAGAACAACAACAACAGCAACAACAACAACAACAACAAAAACACTAATGGTAATTGAACTACTTTGCTTTTTCTCACTTCTATTCTTGTTTTTGTTGATGTGTATTATAAACCCATTGTCTATTTAGCTTCAATTGGTTATTTCTTTCTCACACCTCTTCTCTACCCTCATTAATTCCTTTTTTGGTGTTCTGTTGTATTTTGTACCAAACACAGATCTGTTTTCCTACTTTTTATTTAACATTTATTGCAAGCTCTATTTTTCACATAAGAGTACACACTCCTTCAGAATAGAGACCATGCTTTGACCATTTTCATATCCTTGTGCCAGAAGAGTGTGGGGCTTGCTAAGTCTGCTGTGACTGTAAAATCCACGACAAAAGGATACTAGTTTAGATAATTTCCTAGTCCTGGATTAAGGAAGGGGAAAGTATAAGCTAAGTAAATGATGGCACTGAGCAATGTTCATCGAGAAAACAAAGATTCTCACCACTGAGCCAATGGCAGCTGCATGATAGATGAAGAAGAGATTGAGATTGGTTCCACAATCAACATTCTTGTCAACAGCAGTCATGAAATCAAAAGACGAATTGCACTGGGAATGTCTGTGGTCAGGGACCTCTCTAGAATACTGAAGAGCAATGATGTCAGTCTGGAGACTAAGGTGCATCTGATCCAGGCCATGGTCTTTGAAATTACTTGTTATGCATCAGAGAGCTGGACAATGACTAAGGACTATACAAAAAGAATTGATGCCTCTGAATTGTGGTGCTAAGGAAGTCCACATACCGTGGACTACCAGATCAAGGAGGTTCATCCTAGAGAGGGTGAAACCAAGCTGCTCCCTGGAGGCAAGTATTTTGAAGCTCCATCTCACATTTTGGGTATGTGGCCAAGGAGGGACCAGTCTTTGGAGAAGGACGTCATACTTGGTAGGGTGGAGGGACAACACAGGAGGGGAAGATGCTGGATGAGATGGATTGTCTCAGTAACTGGAGAAATGGGGTCAGGTCTATCTAAAACGATGAGATTGGCTCAGAATAGAGCAGGGTTCAGAGTTATTGTACATAGGGTCACTATAAGTCACTGGTGACTTGAGATACATAACAACGAAGAATTTGAATATAGAATAAACCATGGCTGCCAAAGGAACATCAAATCTGTCATTGAAGAGTTTTCCTTAGAAGCAAGGATGAAGAGACTTCATTTCACACTCTTTGGGAGTGTTATCAGAAGGGCCTAGTACCTGGAAAGGAAACCATGTTTTTAAAAGTAGAAGGTCGGTGAAAGAGAGGAAAACCCTTAATGAGATGGATTGATGCAGTGACTGCGACAATGGGTTTAAGAACAGCGCAGACTGAGATGGTATAGGAGTAAATAAAATTTCCTCCTGTTGTTCTCAGGCTTCCTGATTATTATCCTAAACTGGAAGTGCTGATAAATATTTATGGATTAGAGAAAGATTAAACAGGCTAAGAAATTTGACATAATTTTTTTAAAAAAACCTAGTATATTTAAAATTAATAATAAAAAATTCAAAAAACCCCCAAAAAACCTAGTATAAATTAAGTCCTCAACAAGTATCAGTCAGTTAAGTGAATGAAACAAATTGTGTTTCTGGAAAGCTCTTATAATAAAAATACCCCATTAACAAAAGCACAGAATTTTATCAGAGAGTAAACTCTGGTAAAATTCATGTTGAAATAGAAGAACAGTCAGTTTTTTTCTGTCTTACCCCAACCCTGATGTTAGACCTATTCTACAACAGTGGCACCATGTGGTATTTGTCCCTTTGTGACTGAGATATTTCACTCAGCATAATGTCTTCCAGGGTCATGCATTCTGAGGTGATATATGATTGAGTACTACGGGTGGCTCCTTGGAGGCAAGGATTCTGAGGCTC